ATTCACATAGAACACTTTCCACCATAACTGCTGTGTAAGCACTCGGTTCCTGGAGCCAGTTCACTGCACCACCTTTATTCTCTGTCGGTGGCGTTGTAGCTACGGTTCCTGGCTCATGCCTTGCCTACCACACTCTGTCTGCATTGCTGCCAGATTCTCTTTCTAAATGTAAGACCAGTCCCATTCTCCATTTGAACAAAACTCTTCTGTTATTCCCTAACAGATAACAGATGAAGCCCCTGTTCCTTAGCCTGGAGGATAACATCCTTCAGAGTCTTCCATCCCATCATTACCATTTTCAACACCTTACCCTGCCCACCACCTCCCTTGAAGGCTTTCTCCCAGACTAGTTAACCAGTCCCTACTGCCTGCCACACAGTGAGGGCTTACTGCATTTTAGCCATGTGTTTTCTAAGCCAACGATTCTGACATATGTCAGATACTTACAGGGGAGTTTACAGTGTTGGGGAAAGGGGGAGTCCAAACCTGAATGCTACTGCATGGCACTAGACAAGATCCTAACCACTCAGAGCCTCCACTTCCTCATTTGCAGTGGCTGGGAATAATAGCATCCTTGTAGAATGATGGTGAAAAGTACATGGGAGGCTCTGTGTCCCATCCGTACCACGATGCCTGGCACACAGTGGGAGCTCCAAATCCACCGGCCTCCCTCCTTCCCCTCCATCCTCCCTGGAGCCAGTCAGCACAGCAGCACCAGGGAGGGCCCGAACACCCAGAGCAGGCCTCCCCGGACAACAGGTGCAGCCACACATGCACTCATTGGGCATCCACCCAACACCAGGCACCAGAATTGTCACTGGGGGTACAGAGGAGGAACACAGACTGAGTTCTCACTCTTGGGGAGCTTGGGACTTGGAGGACCCACCACACCTCAAAGCAGGCTTGGGTGATGTCTCCCAGGGAGGCAGGGCATAAGGGAAGGAAGAAAGGCCAAGGGCCAAAAGGCTCTGAAAGGCTGTGCATTTGAGAACTTAGACTTGCTCTAGATTTCAGAGAAATTATTCAGGCTTGTCTTTGCCATTGTTAAAAAAGCAATCACGTTTTTGAACAAGGCACTAAGTGGCCTCTTCATGGACCTTGATGAGGATAGAAAACAAAGCCACACTGACAGACACCATCTCTCACAACCGGACCCTACATGTCACCCTCCCAATAAAGTTGTGAAAAAGACCACCTGTCTCGGGCTTTTCAGATCACTGCAGTTTGGTGGAATCAGAGCGACAAGTCTCCTGGACCCATCATGAGCCACAAATCCATCACTCTTCCATCTTCCACATCCTTCCCTCCTGTTGCATGCTGAGTGGATGTCGCCTACCCCCATGGTTAATTTTTATATAATTTTACATACATTTTAATTTTGCTTCACATGCCCATAAATATTACAGGGGGAAACACAGAGCATCACTTCTTTACCCATGTCACCGCATCCCTGGGAAACTGTCTGAGACCTGAGTTCCCATACCCTGGCATTAGGGCAAAGAACAGCTTGGCATTTAAGAAAGTGGGAGATAGAGCTGAAGCTTAGGAAGAAAAAAGAAGGAAGGAAGAAAGAGAAAGAAATTAAGGGAGGGAGCGTCTATAAAAGTTAAATATGTCCCCAATCATATGACCCACCCATTCTTCTCCAAGAAAAATGAAAATACATCTCTATACAAAGCGTCTACATAAATATTTGTAGAAGGTTTCTCTGTAATATCCCAAAACTAAAGCAACCACGTGTCTATCCATCAATGAATGGATAAGCAAATTGTGGTACATGCATACAATGAAATACTACTCAAAAATAAAAATGGATCAACTTACAACATGGTTGAGTCTCAAAATAATTACACTGAGTAAAATACACTTCACAAAAAAAGAGTTCATACTGTATAATTCCATTTTTTTTAAAAAAAGGAAAGTTCTACAAATGCAGACTAATACATGTTGGGAAAGGGGGAAAGGGAAGAAGAGATTACAGAGGGACACGGGACACTTTAGAGAGTGACAGATATGCTCATTATCTTGATTATAAGGATGAATTTGTGGATATCTTTTCATATATAAACCTCATCAAACTGTCCACGTTAGTCATGTGAGCTTATTGGGTGCCAACTACACTTCAATAAAGTTGGTATAAAATAAAATGCCTGGTATACTGAAAACAGTGTTGACCAAAAGAAGAAACAAGAGCAATGAGATAAACAGGTGATTGGGGGAGAACTTCTCAGGGCAGAGAGACGTTCCCCAATCACTTTATTGTCCAGAAACTAGACTTGGATGTGCCAAAGTTCAAGCAGACAAAACGGAGACTGAGAAAAAAAATGCTGAGCATCAGCCGACATGGTGTAGCCTTGGATAACCATGAAAAAGATTTCTGTAGAGCTGTCCTACTCAGAAATGCACATGGTTAAAAATGGCGCTGCGGCTCAATAGACTAATACTCCGCCTAACGGTGCCGGTACACGGGGTTCTAGTCCAAGTCGGGGCGCCGGATTCTGTCCCGGTTGCTCCTCTTCCAGACCAGCTCTCTGCTGTGGCCTGGGAGTGCAGTGGAGGATGGCCCAAGTGCTTGGGCCCTGCACCCGCATGGGAGACCAGGAGAAGCACCTGGCTCCTGGCTTCGGATCAGCGCGGTTCGCCGGCCGCAGCGGCCATTGCAGGGTGAACCAATGGAAAAGGAAGACCTTTCTCTCTGTCTCTCTCTCTCTCACTGTCCACTCTGCCTGTCAAAAAAAAATGGAGTAACTTACTTAGAAAGGAACACACACATACATACACACACACACACAGGAGCTTAAAAACAGTGCTGGTAACTGGTATGACAAGATGTGAATCATCTAAAACCAACCAAATACTCGGCTGAATGCAGCTCTGCTCAGCCTACAAGTGGCTCCTGCATCAGACAGTAGTAGCTGGAAGAGTCCCACTGAGGAAGACACAAGTAAACCACCAGGTCCCAGGAGCCACAGGATGGGACCTTGAGAGAGGAGATGAGACCAGGAAGAGGGGTAGCAGGGAAGAAAGCAAAATGACTTGTGTGTGAATCCCATTGCCCAGGGCATTGCCAAAACTCACGGGCTGGCTTAGCCCATGGACAGTAACTGGCTGCTACTGTTTGCTGCAAATTGACGCAGGCCAAGAAGGGCTGCAAGAGTTCATACGGGTGTCCCTCTCATTTTGGAAATGAGGCTGGAGTGCTGAGGACAGAAATGATTTCCCCCCAAAATCTACCCTTTTGTGAATGTATACCATACTGACCCTTTTAGGAAACAACGTAAGAGGCTACCGCAAGCGGGAGCCCTAGCCAGATTCCCAAGGCATCCATCTTCTCTCCCCCACTTCCAGGAGTGTGACCGTGGGCATTTATTAAACCTCTTACTTTCCTCATTTGTAAATAATATCACAATAGGGTTATTGATCAGAGCTCTTCAGAAAAAGAGAATCAAAAGGATAGGATCTGAAGGAAGTGGCTCACACAATTGCAGGCTCACAAATGGCCTCGACCTTTCAATTAAGAAGACCAGAGTCTGATTTGCAAAACGTTTTCACATCTGTTATCTCATTTGATCCCAAAACATCCCGACATGCCTCCTTTTATTCAGTAAGCTCTACTTTTATCTGCCTATGTGCTAAGTGTACATTGCACAGATAAGAAAACTGAGCCTTTGAGAGGTTTTGAAATGGATTACCCCAGGTCAAATACCTGGTTAATCACAGAACCAGGACTTATGCCTCAACTTGCCCATGATAGCTCTCCCTTACTTTCCTTAATCTGTGAGATTGTCTACGCACTGTCTGCTCTGAAAGCTGAGCCGCCGTATTGTGTCTCTGCTGAGTTATACTTGGCCCTCGGTATCAAAGAATTCCACATGCCAGGATTCAACCAATCACAGATCAAAAACAGTTTTTAAAAAATCACATTTGTGCTGAACATGTGTAGACTTTCTTTCTTGTCATTCGTCTCTAAATACTAGAGTAGAACAACCGTTTACACATCATTTGCACTGCACTACACGTTACAAATAATCTGGAGATGATGTAAAGTACGTGGGAGGATATATGTAGGTTTTGTGCAAATACTATGCCATTTTATGTAATGACCCTGAGCATCCTCAGATTTGGGTATTTTTTAGTGGGTGCTGGAACAAATGCTTGGAGAATGTCGAGGGCTGACTGTGTCACTGAAGCCACAGCATTGGTGGCCATTCTCCCCTCTCAGAGTACCCAGCTCTGCTCTCCATAGTGAACTGCCCTTGTCCACCGCATGCTATTGTTCAGCTTCACTGTGTGCTACCATCCAGCATAAAGAAGACACCACACTGGTTAAGATAACCTGGTTTGTTCTGCCTAGGAATCTCGGTTTTGAAGTTCAGCACTAGCAGCTTCCTCCCCACCATCCCAGAGGCACAATCGACCCACCTTCAGAACCCCGATGCTTTCTTCCCAAAGTCCCCTTACCCATTGTCACTTCTGACACTCTTTCTTCTTTGCTGTAAGGGGATCAAATGTGGTCGTGGCTGTTGTATGGTAGGTGCAGCGCCTAGCTTGTTTTCCCTTTACAAGGTTACTAGGGTCTGGAGAGACTGAGTCAGACCTTGGCCCCAGCACTTCCCAACTATGTATATTTGGGGCATATCATTAACATCTCTGCCTTAGTTTCCTCATCTGTCATGTGGGGAGATATTAGTAACCTTCTCATGGAATGGTTGGGCACGTCAAATGTGGTCATTCAGCCCTGGAACTTGGCACTATTTAATGCCTGGCAATTAGTCCTGTAAGCATCCACTTTAAGAACAGAAACCACAACCCTGCAAGGAGATACAAGTAGGGTCATTTAACAGATGAGAATACTCAGAGTGCCACATAATAGTGGGGTTAATCAATATTTATTGAATAAAAGAGTGTTTATTGTTCTCATGCCGATACTGACTTCGAGGAATTTTGCTAAGGAACAATTCCTACCTCACCCAAAAATAAATACCATCTTGATTTCTTACCTGGCCAGAGAAATGCACTTGAGCCATTCCCTCCAAAATCATTTCCACTGCCATGATGCTGTGAAGGTGCTTCAGTTGATCGTGCGGTAATTACTGTGTCATTCTTAAGCAATGGATTTTCTGAATTCAAGAGAAAAAGCTCTATGAAAAAGTCACATTTTATCATGAATTTTTTTCACTGCTATCTCATTTACTTTTAAATTGGACTTACGTGTGTTTGAACTTGTCCCTGAACTCTTAGTCATGCAAACCACAAGCGTACACTTTGTAAAGACAGTTGGCCTCATGCAAGATCCACAGGGCAGAGACAATGACTCAATTTTTTTTTGAGAGACACACTTTCCCCTTCCGTCACTCCAGCTGTATCGGCTCTCCCTTTTGAAATGGTAGCTCTGTGGATCTTGTTCATTCTTCAAAGCAACTGTCTTTCAAGAAGTGTTTCCAGGGAAATTGACCCTGAACAGCATCATCGAGCTGCAGTAACATCTTTGGACTACACGTGTCTGATCCGAATGAATGCCATCACTCTCCTCTGCCCTCCTCATCACAGTGACTGCAGTCTCTCCCCAAAGCATCAACCAACCAGCCTTCAGCAGCCATTCATGAGGAGCACCTTTCAGAGGTTAGACCACACTCCTCTGACTGCTCCAAATTGCATTACAAGTAGACAGGAGAGGAGAGGAGAAAGCCAAAAGGCTAGAAGCCACCCTGACCCAACTTGAAGCTGACAGCTGAGGCTTCATGAAGAACACAGGAGGAGGGCTGGAGAGGACATTCTTGAAACCAGTGCACAATCTCTACTATTGCCCATTCCAAACCTACTTCCTCCCTGGGTCTTCATTCCCAAAGGTCAACCCAGAAGTTAAGATTCTAAAATCTCCTCTTCTTGATAATATGCTATTCGCATTTTTGCATAGTTTCTGAGATGAATTGAATTATGTCCCCCAAATGTTGAAGTCCTAACCCCTAGGATCTGTGGATATGACCTTTATTTGGAAACATGCTCATTGCATAGCCAAAGGTAAGTGCTCCAGGCCAGCAGTGTATGTTTTCTGCAGGATTTGAAGTTCCCTTGTGAGTCTCTCTTGCCTTTGCCCCTCTCTATCCTGACCTGTCTCTCATATTCACTAGCTGTAATTTTCCTCCCTTGCTCTGCTTTTGCTCCAAACCAATGAGATGAGTATCCTTCAAAGATGAGATGTGACAGCAAGTCAGCCACTTGGGGAAAAAGGTCACATGAACACAGGGGCCAGGACTGAAGGGGTGCATCTACAAGCCAAGCAAGGCCAAGCATTGCCAGAAACCCCAAAATCAGTGACAGGCATTGAACAGATTCACCCCCAGAGCCTTCAGAGCCACATGCAAAAGCTGGGGTCTTGCATGCCTCCCCACCAGAACTGTGGGGAAGTAAGTTCCTGTGGTTTGAAGCCACCAGCCTAAGTTTGTTATGGTGGTCCTAGGAAACTCTCCTCTCCTATCTCTTTTCCTTTGCCTGGAACAACCTCCCTGCCTACATGAGTTCACCATCCCCTCCTGAGCCTATCCCAAGTCCTTGGACAGTGCCCTTGGACTCCCATAAGCTTGGCTATGCTCAACCTAGCCCTCTTCAGGGAGCATTCTGATTATCTCTCCATTCACCTGAATATGTCTTGGTCAGTGTTTAGTGCACTGCACAGAATCCTTTGTTTCAACATTGAGTACATGTTGAAACATAAAAAATGAAAGACCCAGTCAAATGGAGGTTGATTGTGTCTGAAGACAAATTGAAAAGTTTTAACTAAGGGATATGACTGAAAAAAAAATACATTCATTCCAAGGATACAAATGACTAAGGTTATTATCTTGGGAACACAATGTAGATGTAATTGAAGAAAAGAACAGAGGCAGGTAGAGTTTGGGCACCAGAGGAGCAGTAAGGTAAGTGGATAGCCAATTCAAAGTGCAAACACAGAGTTAGGGAGGAAAATTAAAGCTGGTGAACAAGATAGACAAGCCAGGATAGAAAAGAGGTAATACGAGATGCCTGAGTGGGAGCAAGGACAGCAGAGACACCCAAGGGAACGTAAAGCGCAGGTCTGGAGCACTTGCTTTCCATATTTAGCTATGGACCCATTTTATAAACTAATACTTCCTATCTGACAATTATGCACAAGGACTAGCTTGCAACTCCAGCACACTCAAACTGGAGTGGGGAGAAGGGATCCTAGGACAAATCTCCTGATGCTACCAGTAGTGGGGATGTGGGACTATATACCCATAACCCCATGGTGTACACCTCACTGGGCTAGCAATGGCATTGGGTGCATAGGGGCAGAACAGCAAGAGCCCACAATGGGCCTGCATAGACTTCACATCCACCAAAATGAGACAGAGGTCATCATCTGTGTTCTAGGGACAAATAGGATGATTGAGGTGTGGTGAGTTTAAGAGACTTCTCCAGGGTCACCTAGATAGTGGCTGGTTAACTCATTACCTCTAGCCTGATTTGTCCACCCAGGCTGCTTCACATGAATGATATGTGAGAAAGCACTTTGATATTTTATGAAGAGCTTAGAAATTGAAATGATGGCTACTAATCAGAACTCACTAATGCCATGGTAGTCAACGGTGAAAAGTAGCTGTCTCAGACAGTGGTGTCCCTGCTTGCCTTCACTCAAATGTAACCGTAGAGAATCTTGCCTCCATAGACAAAGAAACCTTCAAAAACCCACCTGACTCTCGGGTTTAGACTTGATAATCTGCCTTCACCTCGTCATGAGTGTCTCCAAATGGCTTTCCTTTTACTTGGCAGATGCCACTTAGTACTTCAGCCCCTCTGTCCTCAGTCCCTGCACTTTTGATCATTCTGCCCAGAGCACCTGTTATCCACCCTACACTCTGAATCCTTTGGGACTCGGTTCAGAAGTCCTAGCGCACACTTCCAGTGGCTGATATTTGACATCTGCTGTACTTGCCTATTGGCATATCTCTTTGTTCCATGAATCTGTGAATCTCTGGGAGCTGGGGCCACATCTCATGGATGTATCCCCAGTGCCTAACCCTTAGTCTGGCATGTCAGTGTTACTCACTGGTTCTCTGCTGGGTGTGCCATTATAGATAGAACTCTGGTAGTCCATCTGCTCTCTGACTTCTCCTCTCCTCTCTTAGCTCTGCAATTCCACCCATAGCTCTGTTCATAAAATCACCATCAATGGCAACCTGCACACCTCTCCTCATCTCCCACCCTTCTACTAACTTCAACCCTCTATAAAGCCCACCTTACAGAATGAGAGGAAAGGGGGAGAATGGGGCCAGCGCTGTGGCAAAGTAGGTTTGCAGTGCTGACATCCCCTATGGGTGCCAGTTTGAGCCCCAGCTACTCCATTTCTGAACCACCTCTCTGCTGTGGCCTGGGAAAGCAGTAGAAGACAGCTCAAGTCTTTGGGCCCCTGAATTCATATGGGAGACCTGGAAAAATTTTCTGGCTCCTGGCTTCGGAGCAGCGCAGCTCCAGCCATTGCGGCCATCTGGAGAGTGAACTAGTGGATGGAAGACACCTCTCTCTCTCTCTCTCTCTCTCTCTCTCTCTGCCTCTGTAACTCTGCCTTTGAAATAAATAAATCAAGAAAAAAAAAGAGAAGAGGAGGGGAGGGGGGAGGGGAGGGGAGGGGAGAAGAGGAGAGGAGAATCCTGGTCGGTCCTAGAGCATCAGTGGGGTCTACTGAAAACTGAGGTGGGTGGGGGCCTGCTTCCTTTTTCTTCCCGATGGGATCACTCTACCACCAGAACACTGCTGATTTGACCAGGCATTTCCCAGAGTTTTTCAGATTCCTGGGCTTCTGTGGGACTTTTCAGCTCTAGATAACTTTATCCAAAATCAAGAAAAGTAAGGGAGACAATATGAAAAACCCTTCTAAGGGACTTAGACAACTACTTAGAAAATTGGTCTGGAAAGACTTCATATTTGTGGAGTGAAGTACCCGTCACTGGGTTGACTCTGGAAGATAGAGAGATGAGAAGGAAACAGTCCTTGCATGGAGCAATCCCGGTGATTTTAGAAAGAAAAGTCAAGAGAATGGCACAGCTTGACATCTTGACTCTGTGCCCAGTACACTGCCCCAGCTTGCTTGCTCAACGATGCCCATTCATCAGGCCCTCTCAAACATTTCACCCATGCGCCACTGTTTAGAGGGCAAGACCATGAATCCCATCCACAGAGTGTGGGAGGGGAAATTACAAAGATGTCTGGGATAGACTCACTTGCAATGCTAATGAACTTGTTCTTTTTAATAAATGTTGCAAATGAATTAATCATTTATACTCAAAACCAGTATGACAAGAGGCCAGCCCCAAGTTCAACAACGAGAGCACAAAGGGAGAATGTTCGTTCCTATTTATCCTTTCAGACTCTTCAAAGATGTCAGTTCCTGGGGGAACCTTTCTTGATTCCTTGCCTTATCCAACAGAACGAATTCCTTCTTCCCAGGGCCTTCAGGACATCATGCTGTGCTGTGCCATCCCTCCTGTTTGTTTATGTCTAAGCCACCTGCCTGAGGACAGGGACAGCGCCTTTGTCCTTGTCACGTCTTCATGACTTATCAATCTGACAGGCACCGGGAGATGCCTCTTAAAGGTCTGGAGGATTATACTATCGTGAGTCCAAATGAGAAGTTCAGTTCACAGACGGCCATTCTAAAGCCTTAACCTGGGCCTCAGTGTAAGTCAATTTGCTTTGGAAAGTTCAGGTACCATGAAAATCATGGGCCAACTCAAAGAATAAATTTTCATGTCTGAGCCACCAACCAAAGCAACAACTGGTTTTCAGCACTCCGAAGTTACTCGTCATGTGAAATGAAATTCCCCAGTGGCAGCATGGAAAGATGAAGTCACTCTTGACCAAACTGTGGTTTCCAGTTACCTAAACTGCTCCCACAAAGGAATGACCCATCACAGGCAGCTTCCTAATTCTCTTGGAGCCCTTTAATAGGCTAGCTATTGACCAGATAAATCATCCAATTAACCCTCTTCCTTGGCCTTGGCCTTGGCCCAGTCCTCCCGCCTTCTCCTTGCAGGAGCCTGATTCATACCCTATGACATCTGCCAGCAGGGCTCTTGACCTGGTTCCCAGGGAAGGACAGGGA